TTTGTCTCCTGTTCTTAGCAAAGAGCTTATAAAAACTCTGGTATTTCCTGAGTGATAGGAGTATCTTTTGCTTATTCAGGAGGCTCCACTTTTTTTTTTTTTTTTTTTTTTTTTTTAGGAGAGTGGGAAGTGAGTGGTGGTGCAGAGGGAGAGAGAGAATCTTAAGTAAGCTCCATGCCCAGCCCACCTTGGGGGCTCAATCTCATCACTCTGAGATCATGACCTGAGCCAAAATCAAATCAGACACAACCAACTTAGCTACCCAGGTGCCCCCAAGAGGCTCCTCTTTTGAGTACACTTGAGTTCATGCTAATTTAGGGGAGGGCTCCTAAATACACTCAGGATGGAGCTGGTCACCAGAAAGACCAAATGATTGGAGGGTTAGAACTTTTAGCCCCACCCACAGACCTCCAGGAAAGGGAGAGGGGGAGTAGAAATTAAGCTCTATAAAAACTCTTAAGGAAATCTGATGAGTTTCTGGGTTGGTGAACATCATGGAGGTACTGGGAGGGTGGTGCATAGAGAGCATGGAACTCTGTGCCCCTTCTCTCCTTCTTTGTATCTTTCCATGTTGCATTGTATGCTTTATAACAAATCAATAAACTAAGTAAATATTTCCCTAAATTCTGTGAGCTGTTCTATCAAATTACTAAACCAGAGAAGGGAGTCCTAGGAATTCCAATTTATGGTTATTTGGTCAGAAGTACAAGTGACAGTCTGGACTTGCAGTTGGCATCTGAGGTGGAGGCAGTCTTGACGGCTGAGTCAGGGTTCTCTAGAGGAACAGAACCAATAGGATAGACGGATGATAGATGATAGATGATAGATGATAGATAGATAGATAGATTTGCTGTAGGAGTTGGCTCAGATGATTGTGGAGGGCAAGAAGTCCTACACTCTGCTGTCTGCAAGCTGGAGAAATAGGAAAGCTGGTGATAAAATTCTGTTTGAGTCTGAAGGATGCAGGATGGCCCGGTCTGAGTACCAGAGAGGGGGTCCCACAGGACTAGTCAAGAGGGTCCCTGGATTCATGCAGGATGGAAATCAAATGAGCCAGCAGAAGTGAAAGCAGAGTTTATTGAAGATGTATGTAAAGACAGACAGATACAGACAAGAGTATCCCGGAGACTTGGAAAGGTAAGAAGCATGAGTCTTGTCTTTGCTTGGGTCCTGGAGTTTTTATTGCCCATTGTGGTCGGGTGCACAGTCTTTAACCTTTGGGATCTGATGCTGTCTTCAGGTAGATAGTGTCAGAATTGAGTTAAATTTGTAGGACACCCAGGGGCACCTGGGTGGTTCAGTGGGTTAAAGCCTCTGCCTTCAGCTCAGGTCATGATCCCAGCATCCTGGGATGGAGCCCCACATCGAGCTCTCTGCTCAGCAGGGAGCCTGCCTCCCCACCCCCTTTCTGCTTGCTTCTCTGCCTACTTGTGATCTCTGTCTGTCAAATAAATAAATAAAATCTTTAAAAAAAAATTTGTAGGACACCCAGTCAGTGTCCACTGCAAATTGGAGAACTGATGTGGGATAATCCCCCCACATCTGGTGTCAAACGTATTGAGAGTAGAGTGAGAAAAACAGAATTTCCCTTTACAGAGCTTTCCTGGAGTTCTGAATTATGAATTACTATACTTCTAATTGTCATTCCCCTCTGCATTCATCTTTCTTAGTTCCAACAATTTCTTTATCCTCTTTCCTTCTTCCACTAAGAACACTCCAACATCTCTCATTCCGTTTCCCACTTTCTTAGTCCTTGTGGGTATTTGTATTTTCTCATTTCAGTGGAGGTTCATAGGGAAACGAGACTAACATATGTTTGATCGCTCATGTTAAAAGTCACTCTGTAGAACACGTTTTCAAAATTATGAATTCTTTTAAAATCAGTTATGTGGTTATAAAATGCATAAGTGATACCCTTTTTTTTTTTTTTCAATACAGTATCCTCCTTTATCCACGGTTTCACTTTCTGAGACTGCAGTTACCAAGGCGGGCCAATCTCAGGCCTAAAGCAGATGATCCTTCTCCTGATGTATAGTCAGGTCAATTGTCTAGTGCCACATCACAATATAAACATTATCCACTTCACTTCAAGTCATCACATGGGCAATTTACCATCTCACAGCCTCACAAAAAGGGTGAGTACCACTGTAAGATATTTTGAGAGAGACCAACATTCATGTAACTTTTATTACAGTATATTCTAATTATTCTATCTTATTATTGCTTATTACCAGTCTCTTGCTGTGTCTAATTTATAAATTAAACTTTATCATAGCTTGTATGCATAGAAAAAAAAAACAGTATAGATAGGGCTTGGTACCATTGCTAATTTCAGGGATCTCCTGGGGGTCTTGAATCCGGGACCTGCAGATAAAGGGGCAGTACTGAATCTTATTTTTCTGATTAGAAATGTTTGCTCATTGGGGCGCCTGGGTGGCTCAGTCGGTTAAGCATCTGCCTTGGGCTCAGGTCATGATGCTAGGGTCCTTGGGATTGAGCCCTACATCAAGTTCCCTGCTCAGCAGGGAAACTACTTCTCCCTCTCCCTCTTCTTGTGCTCGCTCTCTCTCTCTATCAAATAAAAAAATAAAATCTTGAAAAAAAAAAGAAACAAATGTTTGCTTATTAGAGTAACCCAAAGGATACAGAAATATCTAACAAAGGGAAGGTCTTTCACAATCATAGCCTTAGACAAAGTTATAGGTTGGTCTCTTAAGTATACTACTGTTTAGTGATTCTATATTTGTAAAATATAAGATAGGGAAAAACAACAGAAAGATAACACTAAAATAGTAAGCAGTTAACTCTGGAGATTGGGATTATGGATTTTTTTCCCTTCTACTGATTTAGCTGTATTTTCTAATGTGCCCAAATTAACATCTAATTATTTTTTGAACATTTATATTTAAAAAACCTTGAAATGTTAAGATTTAAGTCTCTTCCTCAAAATAAATGTAATTATGTTCAAACTTTTGCAATTTTTAAAAATTTAAAAAAAATTATTATTAACATATAATGTATTATTTGCCCCAGGGATACAGGTCTGTGAATCGTCAGGCTTACACACTTCACAGCACTCACCATTGCACATACCCTCCCCAATGTCCATAAAACTTTTGCAATTTTTGAAATATTTCATTTCACTTAATATTCCAAGAATTAAAAAAAATTCCAAGAATAGCAAAAGGTTCTCTGATGTCTACAGATTAAAAGGATTTTAAAATTATAATAAAATTAAAGAATCAATACAATCTACCATACAATTTCCATCACTTAATTACGTAATTTGTGTTTAAGTACTTAAGGGTTTCATAGATGAACAAGCTCTTAATTTTCCCTTTTAACCTCATTCACCAGATGGTCTAGAAATCTTTGATCTGCAAGCCTTGCGGGGTTTTCAGGCCTCCCGCTGAGGTGTTACTTCCCCAAAACTTTATGTGGTTCCTGTCCACTCTCTGGGACAGAATAATTAGATGTTTAGAGTAAAGTTACTGATCAATCACCATAAAGTTAGAGAATTTGCCAAAGAGAACAGAATGAATTTTACAACGCTGTGCACGGATTGTTTTTAAGATTTTATTTATTTGAGAGAGAGAGAGAGACAAACACAGAGATAGCGACAGAGCAAACGGAGCAGGGAGGAAAGAGTGAAGTAGGCGCCCTCCTGAGCCGGGAGCCTGATGAGGGGATGGATCCCAGGACCCTGGGATCATGACCTAAGCAGAAGGCAGACGCTTAACTAACTGAGCCACCCAGGGTAACAAATCAGGGTATTTCTACAGGGTATTCTATTTTCTACAGAGTAATTCAGAAAGATTGCCTTAAAAGATGTCAACCTTTCTACCTACATGTCCTATTGATATCTCAAACCCAAAGACCATTTATTTTGAATCGTAATCATTCAAAAATTGGTTATCAACTTTCATCCCAAACACAAACTTAGTTCTATCTGGTTCCTACACGCGTACAGGGGCGTGTGCCTGTTCATCTCTAAGGCCTCACCACCTAACAGCCTCTCCTAGCCATTTTGCCGTCCAAGCGAGCTCTCTCGCCGGGTTGTTGGGTGTAGTAGGTCTCTCCCCTCCCCGCTTTCCCGGCCCTTGGCTAACCCATGCAGCAGCCGGTAGCTGGCCTGCCCTTCAACCTGGGCCTGGCCTTCCCTTCCTCCTCCTCCGCAGTCCCACGTCTGCAGTGGGTCCGGCCTCAGGGAGGGGGTGGTGGTGGTGGAGAAAAACTTCGCTTGACTCCTGCAGCCCACTAACCACGGGTGCGGGGAAGATTAAGACGCTCCCAATTCAAGGACAAGCATGAACCAGTCACTCCCCTCCCACCGCCCAGGTCTTCAGACCGCGCCGGGACTAGGGCGTGAGAGTGACAGGCCCGTGAGCGCGCTCCCGCTCGGCCTCCCGGCGCGCGCTGGGCCCGAGGAGCCGGGCCAATCAGAGCGCGCTTCGCATCTACGCCCCCAGCTCCGCGTGCGTCCGTCCTCCGGTAAGGGCAGTTTCCTAATACAAAAGCCTGCTAGCGGACCTTCCCTTTGCTACGTACTCTCCAGTCCTCGCCCATAGAAACGCCCTTCCCCGAGGCGGCCTTGAGGCCCCTCCCGAGGGAGGGAAAGCGGGTGGTGGGGGAAGGGTGGGAAGTGAGGAAGGGTTTTTCACTTTCAAGAAAACACCTTTCCCTCTTCATACTTTTCCCCGTTCGCCTCTCTGGATAGAAAGTCCCTACACCGGCTTAAGTCAATAGCAGATGCTGTGTTAAAGGAAAGCGGTATTAGTTTTTCTTTCAAATGGTAAGTTCTCGTGAAGTAATGCGGCCTCCGTGCATTACCCAGAATTCCCAAGGTCCCGCGTGGCGTGTTTCCGGTCTGCGTGCTGAGGCGGAGCCGCAGGCGAGGCTCCCGCGTTCACGAGCCTTTTCACCCCGCCCCGCCCCTGCAGGTCCTCGCCCCGTGCCCGCCCCCCCACCCCCCCCCGCGTCCGCCCCCCCCCCCCCCCCGCGCCCCTCAAAGTAATAGTTTCCTTGTATTTTATGATGGTAAGAAGAAAACTGCTTTCAAAAAAGTGCCTGCTCCTTGCAAAACTGATAGTAAGTACATAAATGTTTATAAAAGAAAGTTGAACTCACCACTCACCCACAATCTCATCACCCAGAAATAACAGTATTAACACCCTGCTATTTAAAATTGGGAGACTTCACCTAGGCACATAAAGTTTTGTTTTGTTTTGTTTTTAAAGACAGAAGTGTCTCATAGCGTTCCGGGTAAATTTAAATAATCATTTTTAATGGCTGTATGGATATAATTTGTTCAACCAGTCCCTAAATTGTTGGACTTTTAGGGTATTTACAGTTTTTTTACAGTTTTTCACATGTACAAATAATAGGAGATGTCATCAAAAGGAATGAAATCTCGCCATTCGTAATGATGTGGATGGAGCTAGAGTGTATTATGCTAAAGAAAATAAGAGAAAGACATGCCATATGATTTCACTCATAAGGAATTTAAGAATCAAAACAGATGAACAAAGAAAGGAGAAGGAGAGAAAAAAAGAAGAGAGAGGCAAACCATAAGAGACTCTTATCTGTAGAGAACAAACTGAAGGCTGCTGGAAGGAAGTAGATGGGGGATGGGCAAAATGGGTGATGGGTATTAAGCAGGGGACTTGTGATGAGTACTGGGTGTTAAATATTTATTTATTAATTTTGAGAGAGAGTGTGTGTGTGCAAGCAGGATAGGAGCAGAGAGAGAAAGAGAGAGAGAGAAAATCCAAAGCAGACTCCGTGCTCAGCACGGAGTACCATGAGGGGCTTGATCTCACTACCCTGGGATCATGGCCTGATCCTGATCGGAAATCAGGGGTGTGCTGCTAACTGACTAAGCCACCCAGGTGCCCTTGTTTTTGTTGTTATTGTTGTTTTTAGAGATTCGTTTATGACAGAGATAGTGAGAGAGGGAGAAGCAGGGTACTCGCTCAGTGGGGAGTCCAATATATGGGGCTCCATCCCAGGACGCTGGGATCACGACCAGAGCTAAAGGCAGCAGTTTAACCTACTGAGCTACCCAGGTTCCTCACCCAGGTGCCCTTGTACTGGGTGTTCTATGTAAGTGATGAATCACTAAATTCTGCTTCTGAAACCAGTATTACCCTAAATGTTAAATAACTAGAATTTAAATAAAAACTTAAAAAAAGAATAATACTCATTTTAAAAACTCTGCTAGATAATTATTCTCATAGATAAATCTGTACATATTTCTGATTATTTCCTTATAATAAATTCATGGAAATATCATTACTGGATGAAAGAAATACACTCTTTTTTTTTTTAAAGATTTTATTTATTTATTTGACAGGCAGAGATCACAAGTAGGCAGAGAAGCAGGCAGATAGAGAAAGAGGTGGAAGCAGGCTCCCTGCTGAGCAGAGAGCGGGATGCGGGACTTGATTCGAGGACCCTGAGATCATGACCTGAGCCGAAGGCAGAAGGCGGCTTTAACCCACTGAGCCACCCATGCGCCTCAAGGAATACACTCTTATAAGAAGAGTCTAGATGATGTTACCAGACTCTCCCCATGAAATATATTTATTACTTTTCTACCTGTGTCTTCAACTTCTTGCTAATCTTCAGTACTGTTAGGCTTTGAGATCTTTATCACCTTTTGAACATTTTTATCATCTTTGTCATCTTGTTTTAATTTACATTTTTATTGACTATAAAACAACATCATTCGTATATTTATTGGCTCTGTTTTTGTGCATTGCTCGTCAACTACTACTGGTTTAAAACTGAAGTATTTACATTTAAAAATTACAAGTGTTTTTGTATATCAGGAATATTAACCTTTGAATGAAATGTAATTACAAATATTACCATATTTTTAAAGATTTATTTATTTATTTCAGATAGAGAGAGAGCTTGAGAGAGCACAAGCAGTGGGGGGAGGGGTAGTGGGAGAAGCAGGCTCCCCACTGAGTAGGGAGCCCAATGTGGGGCACAATCCCAGGATCCCAGGATCATGACCTGAGTTGAAGGCAGATGCTTAACCAACTAAGCCACACATTATTACCATTTTTTTTTTTTCTTAAACGCAGCTACATCTTCCACCTTATAGACATGGTGGGGGTTCAGTTTAGAGAATTCAACTACGGGTATTGTTTTATTTTAAAGACTTCATTTATTTGACAGAGATCAGAAGTAGTCAGAGAGGCAGGCAGAGAGAGAGAGAGAGAGAAGGAAGCAGTCTCCCTGCTGAGCAGAGGGCCCAATACAGGGCTCCATCCCAGGACCCTGAGATCATGACCTGAGCTGAAGGCAGAGGCTTAACCCACTGAGCCACCCAAGTGCCCCATTATTACCATTTTTTAATATGGCCTATGTTGGTCATTTGCTGAAGGAGAGAAAAGTCTTACAAAAAGGAAGAACATATGTCAGATGGACTAACATAGCAAAGAATACAATTCATCTCTAAGTTATTTGTATGTCAAAAGTTTAAATTAAAATGCAAAAAAAATAGATCTTAAGAAAATGATACTAAAATTCATTTGAGAAAGTACAGTTGACCCTTGAATAACACAGATTTGAACTGCTTCCATCCACTTATATGTGGATTTTTTTTGATACAGTATAGTATTGTAAATGTATTTTCCTTATGATTTTCTTAATATTTTTCTCTGGCTTACTTTATTGTACAAAATATGTGTTAACAGTTTATGTTGTCAGTAAGGATAGTCAGTTTATTATTAATAAAGTTTTTTGGGGTGCCTGGGTGGCTCAATTTGTTAGGTATCCAACTTTTGACCTCAGCTCACGTCTTGATCTCAGGGTGGTGAATTCAGGCCCTCTGTTGGGCTCCACACTGGACATGGAGCCTACTTAAATAATAATAATAACAAAGTTTTGGGGAAGTCAAGAGTTACGTGTGGATTTTCTACTTGGGAGGGGTTGGTGCCCCTAATTCCTGTGTTGTTCAAGAGACAACTGTAAATGGTCATAACTGTTTTTTTTTTTTTTTTAAGATTTTATTTGTTTATTTGTCAGAGAGACAGAGGAGAGAGTGAGGGCACAAGCAGGGGGAATGGCAGGCAGAGGGAGAAGCAGGCTCCCTGCTGAGCAAGGAGCTTGATGTGCACTGATTCCAGAATCCTAGGATCATGACCTGAGCCAAAGGCAGAGACTTAACTGGATGAGCCACCCAGGAGTCCCTGGTCATAGCTTTCTTTCTTTCTTTCTTTCTTTCTTTTTTTTTTCCTGGTCATAACTTTCAATGAAACTTACTTAGAAGGGGGAGAGGGAAGTGGAGTAGAGGAGAATGGACTCTCCTGACATGATTTGTACACTAAATATAAAGATAACTAGGAATACAAGAAAAAATATGTGGTAAGGTTATATAAAGTGTATACCATAAAATTATGCACAATTTTGTACTATGTAAAAACTCAGTATATGTAGAATTAATCAGAATCAGAACCCATAAGTAAGTAAAACAAGTAGAAGTTTAAGGTGATGGGATTTTTTTTTTAAAGATTTTGTTTATTTATTTGAGGGGCGCCTGGGTGACTCAGTGGGTTAAGCCTCTGCCTTCGACTCAGGTCATGATCTCAGGGTCCTGGGATCAAGTCCCGCATCGGGCTCTCTGCTCAGCAGAGAGCCTGCTTCCTCCTCTCTCTCTGCCTGCCTCTCTGCCTACTTGTGATCTCTCTCTGTCAAATAAATAAATAAAGTCTTAAAAAAAAAATAACATGAAGCAAAACGCCAGCCTAAGAACTACAACATTACCAGTAACTTGCATCAGTCTATGTTCTCTTCCCATTCTACTCTGTGTCATCCTTGCCATAGATACAGTGTTTCATTGTCTCTTTTATAGTGACTTTAAACTTACTTTATCAAATTAGAAGAGTTGTGATTTTGATTGAAATTGCATTAATTTTTTGGATTAATTTAGGGAAAATGGGCATATTATAAAAATAACTCTGTAGGTTTTTTTTTAGTGCTGTTTGTGTTTTTTAATCTACAGAACTCGATTGTTACCATCCTCATTTTACAGATGAGGAAATTCATGCATAGATTACTTGTTGAGGTCAGGAAACAGAGCCTGTGCTCTTTACCTCTATGTCATATTGCCTCTCCACAATATGGAATCTGCTCATCTGTAACAGACATGCCCTTCAGCTTGTCCGTACTACTCCCTCATATCCCAGTATGCATCTTTATCTTCTATTAATGAGTAGATGCCTACTTGACCCTCCCCTCCTCTGCTATAGCTGATTAGACTAGCAGGTTGGTAGAAAGCTGGTCCAATCAGATTGTTTCTCCCAGAAATTTGCAATTAGTCTTACCTGGTCTCTTGACCTAGAAAATGATGACACAAAGGTAAAGCAGGGAGAGAGGTTTGACCCACAGATAGGTATCGTAAAGAAAGTGGGCCCTGAGAGGCAGTCAGGAGAGAAGCAGAGCTAAGAAGCCGGAAGAGGGTGTCAGGGCAGCTGCCTGGGATTCTGGGGCTTTCCATGGCCTGGTTTGCCCCTACTAAGACCTTGTTACCCTTTCTGCTCTTGGGGATTTATACAAGGTATCTCTCTTCCTTCAAATAAACTTCTTTCACTTTAAATTCACCTGATTACTTTTCCTTTTGAAACCAATTATGCCATCTAAAAACATGGCCCCTTGATTTACCCATTTTCTTTTGGTTTCCCAGTAGCATTTTCTTTACATAAGTCCTGCACATTTCAGGGCACCTGGGTGGCTCAGTCGTTGAGCGTCTGCATTCAGCTCAGGTCATGATCCCAGGGTCCTGGGATAAAGCCCCACATCAGGCTCCCTGCTCAGTGGGAAACCTGCTTCTCCCTGTCCCTCTCCCACTCCCCCTGCTTGTGTTCCCTCTCTTGCTGAGTCTCTCTCTGTCAAATAAATAAATAAAATATTTTTAAAAATCCTGCACATTTCTTGTTCAGTTCATTCCCACATATATTTTAGTTGTTTTTTGCTCTTTATAATGATAATATGTTTACTGCTGTTCCCTTTACATCTTAATCTATAAAAATTTTACTTTCATCAGCTGAGACTGCTAGATGTCAGTGGTTTGTAAATGT